TTTCTTTCTTTCTTTCTTTCTTTCTTTCTTTCTTTCTTTCTTTCTTTCTTTCTTTCTTTCTTTCTTTCTTTCATTTCTGAGAGAGAGACAGAGTGAGCAGGGGAGGGTCAGAGAGAAAGGGAGACACAGCATCGGAAGCAGGCTCCAGGCTCTGAGCTGTCAGCACAGAGCCTGATGCGGGTCTCGAGCCCAAGAACTGTGAGATCACGACCTGCCTGAGCCAAAAGCAAGAGTTAGACACTTAACTGACTGAGCCATGCATACACCCTTCCATGATGTATTTTTTAAAAAATGTTTATTTATTTTAGAGAGAGACAGAGTGCGAGCATGGGGTGGGGGGCAGAGAGAGAGGGAGACACAGAATCTGTAACAGGCTCCAAGCTCCGAGCTGTCAGCACAGAGCCCAATGCAGGGCTCGAACTCATGGACCGTGAGATCATGACCTGAGCCAAAATCAGACGCTTAACCACCTGAGCCACTCAGGCATCCCCATGGTGTATTTTTTAAATGAATAGATTTTATTTGGTAATATTTGGAAATAACATTTCTGTCTATATTCTTTCTGAGAGTCCTAGAAATCTTATAGGCAACCAACCTATTTTAGCTCTCTAAGTGAAACATATGTTTTCATTAAAGAAGCTTTTTACTTATTTTAAGTTTAAAAATGTTTTTAATGTTTATTTTTGAGAAAGACACACACACACACAGAGAGAGAGAGAGAGAGAGAGAGAGAGAGCACGAATGGGAGAGAGGCAGAGAGAGAGGGAGACAGAATCTGAAGCAGGCTCCAGGCTCCGTCCGAGCTGTCAGCCCAGAGCACAACACGGGGCTCGAACCCATGAACTGTGAGATCATGACCTGAGCCCAAGTCAGATGCATACCTGAATGAGTCACCCAGGTGCCCTGAGAAGCTTTTTATGAAACAATGATGTGCTTGGCATTGTGCTAGAGGTACAGCCCCAAGGAGGTCACTCAATGATCCTGACCGTTAGCACAAATAATATAACATGTGGTGTGTATCATAATGGAAGAATCAAGTGCTTTTGGAACAGAATATGGAGCAACTGACCACAAGGGAGTCAGGAAAGGCTTTACAGAGGAAGAAGCATGAACTGGGCCTCAGTGGATGTGCAGGAATCAAGATGGCGGGAAGAAATGGTGGCACGGGAGGAGCACAGAACAGAAGTGTGTGTTTGGCTGGCTTGGGGAGCCGTAAAATATTCCATTGTGCCTGGAATTGGTGTTTGAAGTGCATCTGGGGAAGTGGGCTGGGAGGTGATTTTTAGAACCTCGCTCTTTCCTCCCAAAACTTCTGTAATAGCGTTCTCATATTTTGTAGACTTTGCAGTGGAGGAGAGGATCTCAGCCCACTTGAAAGATTCACGAGCACCGTCAGTGGCAGCCCGGAGGACCCATTGGCCGCAGCCTCTGTCATCATCCTACAGCACTTCCAGCCCCTCTGAAGGGCACTGTTGAGTTCCCAGGTGCGCTCTGGCATCCGGTGACTAACTACCCCTTGCGTCTGCCGGTAGTAGCTAAACCTGGTTTCTCATCAAGGAATGGGGTTTTTTGCCGGCCTGGGAAGCGTGAGAGTGAGTCAGCCCCTGGTGTTGTGCAGCAGAGGCCTGAAGGGGAAGCCCTCGCTTGGTGGTTTCGGCCCCGACGACTCGCCTTGACTTCCTGCACCATGGCAGCTGCCACAGTGAGGTGCCGTCCATGGGGCACCTTCACGTGCGCACTTTACAAACGCCATCTCGTTCTACCTTAACCCGAGAGTGCGAGGTGATGGTCTAATCCACATTTGGATGATGAGGCCATCGAAACTCCGATATTAAGAAGCCTATTCAGTGCCCAAGAGCCAGAAAATGGCACTGCGTTCTGCATTTGTGTCTTTCTGTGAGTGAGAGTCGGAAGGGCTGCCCTAATAGACATCTAACTGGAAGATTCGGCTGTACTTTATTAGCTGACCCTTCCAAAGGAGGATAAGTTCTGCCCCCTACTTGACGCTCCAAAAACATGTTTATCCATAGTACTTGCGGTAAAGATGGTGGGAAATGGAAATTAATCACCTGTGGAGAGATGCGTCTTCACAAAACCTCTGTGAAGAAGTTCCGTATCCCCGTTTTGCAGATAAAAGGACTGAAGCTCAGAAAGATTAAGAAACTTATCTGAGGACAGGGAGCGCCTGGGTGGCTCAGTGGGTTAAGCATCCGACTTCGGCTCAGGTCATGATCTCACGGTTCATGGGTTCGAGCCCCGCGTCGGGCTCTGTGCTGACAGCTCAGAGCCTGGAGCCTGCTTCAGATTCCGTGTCTCCCTCTCTCCACTCCAACTCTGTGTGCATAACCACTCCACTGGAAGGTCAGCGTGGAACCGTGGTGTTCCTGTCACCAGCTGGCCAGGCAGAGCCGCTGATGAATCACGAGTGAGCAAGATGTGTTTTATTTGCCCTCCCACCTTCTAGCAGCCTCCCCACTCCTGCTTGCATCCCCTGTGCCTGAGCACCCAATACTCTCCTGTTACTCACTGGCTGGCCGAAGAAGAAAGCTCTGCCCCGACTGACTATCAGAGACATTGGCCTATATTTTAAAAGGAATCTCTACTTATAATTAAAATTGCCAATCTCCACAACCAATCCACCAGAAAATTCCTCTTCTCTCTATTTTCTTTTTTTTAATGTTTATTTTTTTGAGAGAGGGAGAGAGAGAGTGAGAAAGAGAGAGAGAGAGCAGGGTAGGGACAGGGAGAGAGGGAGACACAGAATCTGAAGCAGGCTCCAGGCTCTGAGTTAGCTGTCAGCACAGAGCCCAAAACAAGGCTCGAACCCATGAACTGTGGGATTGTGACCTGAGCGGAAGTTGGATGCTTAACCCACTGAGCCATCCAGGTGCCCCTCTTGTCTCTATTTTCAAAACGTATCCAGAAGTGGACAACTCCTTACTGCCTCCGTCACTTCCACTTTGGTCCATCGTCTCACACCTGGATTAATATTCCTTGCTGGGTTCCACTTCACTTCTGCCCTTGCTCCTCTACTGATACTGTCTGCAGTCACTCTGGCTGCATTGCAGATGCTCAACAGTCACGTGTGGCAAATGGCTTTCCTATTGTCAATTGTCATTACAGCAGACAGAGTGATCCTTTTAAAATCAAAATCAGGTCGTGTCTGCTCAAGGCTTTGCATGGCTTGTTTCAGAATAAAAGTGAAATTTACAATGGCGAACAAGTGCCTGCTGATATGGCCCCAGTTACCTCTCCTTGTTGATCTTCTCTTCAGCTCATCCCCTCCCTTGCTCTCCTTCACTCATGTGTCTCCGCATTGCCATGTGTGTTATTTGACAGTGCCGAGCATAATCCCACCTCAGGACCTTTGCACACGCTATTGTCTCTGCTCAATTGCTTTTTCTCCAGAGATGCTTAGGGCTTCCTTGTTCACCTCATTCAATTCTCTGTTCAGTTCCCTGTTGTACCTTAATTAATAAGCTCCTCTGACTGCTCAATTTAAATAGCACATACTCCCCATTGGTGCCTTACACTCTATGTCTCTACTCTACTTTGATTTTCTCCATAGCAACTGAAGTGTTATACATAAGTTTGTTTATGTGTATATTTAGCTTTATGAATAAAGGAACTCTGGGTTGTTTCTGAAGCATTTCCAAAACAACAACAAAATACAGGCCATCTCTCCAGCATTCGGGTACACATTGGATGCTCAACAAATACTTGCTGAAAGAATAGTAAAGTAGCAGATAAACTAAGGTGTTGATGGCTGTATCATATTGCTGAAATATTTGCATTGTCTTTAAGGTTTATGAAGAGGTGCTTTCATCTGAAGAAATGGATAATGAACACTCAGATACTTTCTTTTGTAAGTAAGGAACATAGATTTGGTGGAGAGGCCTCTTGAATTACAGCGTGCCAGAGATATTCTTTCCTTTTCACCTGCCAGCTAGGCTCAGGGTGTGAATCCGTGAAGGAATCTTAGATCTAAGAGTGTTGTCGGATAGATCATCCTGTGACAGGGGAGGTAGTTTTCACTTGCACTTTCCAACAGGGTGCCACAAGCCACAAGTAACTCTCAAGTGCTTGAAGTATGGTTAGTGTGACCTAGCAACTGAATTTTCTATTTTATTTTTTAACAACTCATGGGGCTGAGTCTAGATGATGACCAGAAGTGGACTCTGAAGAGGGGATCCCTCTCCCCTCAGCCACACCCCCCCCGATGGTATACACCAGGCCAGTAACATTGACCTTGCAGTTTCCACCAGATCTAAGAGGACCTGAGAAAACATGATTCCTTTTTCTTTTTTAAAAAATTTTTAATGTTCATTTAGTTTTGAGAGAGAAAGAGAGACAGAGCATGAGTGGGGGAGGGGCAAAGAGAGAGGGAGACAGAATCTGAAGCAGGCTCCAGGCTCTGAGCTGTCAGCACAGAGCCCAACGTGGGACTCAAACCCACAAACCATGAGATCATGACCTGAGCCGAAGTTGAATGCTTAACTGATTGAGCCACCCAGGCACCCCATTTTCTTTAACTGACTAGTTCTATCATATCAATTTCTGTAAGCTCGGTATATACTCTCCAAGAATCTCATGACCCCATTAGATAGCATCTTCTCTCTGTTGTTGAGAATAGGAAACTGATTCACAGCATGACTGCCATGAGCTGAGGCCTCAAAATGATTCATAGAAGATATAAGCCTGGACTTAACAAGACACCAACCCTCATTCCCTTAGCAGGCGGGCGGGTCAGTGACTCAAGTACAAATCTACCAGAGCCTGGGGGTAATAATAAGAGCATTGATGGTGGGAGGGGTGCCTGGGTGACTCAGTCAGTTAAGCGACTGACTCTTGATTTTGGATCAGGTCATGATCTCATGGTTCGTGGGCTCGAACTCCACGTCAGTCACTGTGCTGATAGTGTTGAGCCTGCTCGGGATTCTCTCTCCCCCCACTTCTCTGCCCCACCCATGCTCTCTTGCTTTCAAAATAAATAAATAGACTTTTTAAGAACGAACATTTTTTAGTGTTCCACTATGACAGAGCACTACATAGCGTTCTAAGAGGTTTACATCATGAAGTACATCCTGGCATTTTTCCATTTCACAAATTAAGAAATTTTCATACAGAGAGGTCAAGTTTCCCGAAGATGGCACAAATTGTGTAAAATAATAAATGTTGTTGTTTTAAAAGCTACTACATTTTGGACAGCTTTGTTATGCAGCAATAGCTAACTGATATTGGAGCTTTTGGGACTCTTTGGTGTCCTGAACACAGCAGTATCTTTCGTCAAAGATGACGCAGCAGGTAAAGGCTGAGTGAGGACTCAAGCGCAGCAGTATGACGGCCTAGCCAGTGCGTCTGCCCAGTGCGCTCCATTACGTCTCATGTGGCACGATCTGGGTGGGCACAGGTGGCCTCCTCTCCCCTTCCTGTCATCAACCTGCACAGCTTCAACCAGGCGCTCCTTCCCACGTACGACCTCGCTCTGTGTCCTACAGCCAGAGCAAGTCTCTCCTCCTTCTCTACCATCAATACCTGCCCTTCCTCCTCTCAATAAGTGGCTCAAAGAAGAATCACAGAATAGCAAAATGTGCCAAGGCCGTTAGTGTATAAGACAGAGTTGTGATTTTCTCAGTGGGAAAATCACCATGAGACTGGGCTGATGGGGACTGAAGGCAGTTGGAGGAAGTGAAGTCTAACAATGGCCACTAGATCATGTGATAGTAGATCTTATAAAGACTGGGGCCCTCACCTTGGAGCCAAAGGATTGGATGAGAAGCAGGATGCTACAGAGTCCCCCCAGAAGGCATCAGCATCAGGGAGCGTCTACTGCATGACAAAACACCCAAAAGCTTAGCAGCTTAGTTATTTTGCACAATTCTGTGTGTTGACTGGGTGGTTCTTGTCTAGGCTTGCATCGATTAGGGTGGTCTCACTCAATTAGGGAAGAGTTGAGATGATGGAAGTCTTTCTCCACATGGCTTCTCATTCTCAAGGAAGCAAGCCAAGACTCCTACATGTGGTAGCAGAAGGGTTTTCAGCAGCAAGAGAAGGTGGATCTCAACATACAAGCACTTTTCAAACCTCTGCTTGTCCAATTGGCCAAAGCAAGTCACAAGGCCGAGTCCAGATTTCAGGGACGAAGACACAGACTCTTGTTGTGGGGGAAGAGCTGCAGAGCCACACTGTAAAGTTGCATGCAGTGTCCCCATGGGAAAGAATTTGCAGGCAGCTTGCAATCCACCCATAGTTTTTGAGCGGAATGGTCATTTCCGAGTACTACCCAGAATACATTGGCCATCTTGTCATATTCTGATTTCTTCACCGTGGAACCATGTTCACCTAAAGGGGAAAATAGACATCAAACTTTAAATCTGAAATACATCAACTCTGGAATGATAGCTCAACTTGATGGGAGGAGGTTTGGTGGAAGTATAGAGGAAGGTGCTGCATAGTGGTAGACTTAGAGAAAATCCCAAAGAATTCCAAATTCAGTAAACATGGCAGGACCAGTCCTTATAGTGTCTTTCAGAATTGCAGCAGTTCAGTGGTACCTGGTTGGTTCAGTTGTTAGAGCCTGCAGCTCTTGATCTCTGGGTCATGAGTTTGAGCCCCATGTTGGGTGTATCGATTGCTTAAATAAACAAACTTAAAAAAATCACAAAAGTTCAGTCTTCTGGGCTGAAAGAGAATGAAATTCCTGAGTGAGCCTGCTAATTGGGTTATGATGAACATTCCAGTTAACTTATCTGTGAGACCAAACTCCTTCTTCTTACTTAACTTCTCCTGGTCCTGCAACCCCCATAAGGGGCAGCTCTAGGGACTATGTGACCCCCATCTCCCTGTCCATAGCTGGTCCACAAAGGTAGAGCAACAGAGAAATGGAACCAAGAAGCACAGAGGTTTTGACAAATAGCAGGGGCATTTGAATGGTGGTGGTGGAGAGCTTGGTTGGGACGAGGGCAAGGAAAGCTGTAGGCAAACTCAAACAATAAAAAATCAGAAACCACATACAAGCACAATGTGAGTATTCCGAGAGGAAAATGTACCGCCCATGCAGAAATGAGCATGTCTGGAAGTTTGGTTATGTCTTGTCTCCTGCCTATCTCCTCTTAGTGTTACCTTAAACATGGCTAAAATGATTTGTTTCTTTTTTTTAAGTTCATTTATTTATTTTGAGAGAGAGAGAGATATGAAGGGACAGAAGGAGAGAGAGAGAGAGAGAGAGAGACAGAGAATCCCAAGCAGGCTCCTCGCTGTCAGCGTGGAGCCCAATGCAAGGCTCAAACTCTTGAACCGCAGGATCATGACCTGAGCTGAAATCAAGAGCCAGACGTTTAACCAACTAAGCCCCCCAGACCCCCCAACTATAAGGATTTGATTCTAGATTCATTAGCTCTTCCAACTATAGCATTTATGACTTATTGATTTGCTGTCTCAATACCCCTGTTCCAATTTTTCAATAGACTTTGACTGGTCCAGCTTATCTTTCAAGACAGGCCACACGACATTGTTGTTGGAAGGCCAGTCGTGGCTCCTGTCGGCCCACATGAGTGAAGCATGGTCCCTCCTCAAAGATGCCACCACTGGACAGATGATGGCAGCCACATCCGGTATATAGCCCAGTTCACAACTTTATACTCACATACCCACTCACTCATACGTACATTTCTGTAAGAAACATTTATTGAGCACCTTCCCCAGATCCTTCTCTAAACTTCCCAAGACCACAACGTCATGACGGGCTGTAACTTTTGTTACTAGGCGTGATTCCTTTCGCACAAGCAGAGCTAAAGAGAAGCATTTTTGCATCCCTAAACTCCGGCTCTCTCCTATGTCTTTCCCCTCTAGAGGCAGAAAGTACCTTTGATACACTGGCTGGTTGCCTCATTCTCTAAGTCATGGTATCTTAGCCTTGTCCCAAGTGCTCATACTAACAGCCAACTGGCGCCCATGCCTGTGAGATGGTTCTGGAGCTCCTTGGCCTTGGCAGGCAGCTCTTGGGAGCTTCCCTGGGGCCTGGGAAGAGGGGCCGGATATTCCAGCTGCTGCACTAAGTCTGCGTCACTCCTACTTGGCACGGCCTGCATGAGTGCCACTGTCGTCATTTCTTCTGTGTCTCCTCCCTCTTGCCCATTGGTGTGAGTGATGGCTTCTCTAACAACTTCACCAGTGAGAAGTCAGGAGGGGAATGAACTCAGTCAGGCTGGGATCAAAGTGCTGCACACACTCTGGGTTGCACTTAGTGCCGCCTGTTCTAACCACACCCAGGGAGTGCATTCTGGAGCCGAAGCTTCCCTAGAATGCTGTGATGGGCACACCAGTTGTCCCCCTAAAAATTTCCATGTCCTAATTGCAGAAACTTTTGAATCCCTTACCTTACATGGCAAAAGGGACCCTGTGACTATGATGAAGTTAAGAAACTTCAGGTAGGGAAGGTTATCTTGGATTGTCCTAGTTAGCCAATGTCATCACAAGGGTCCTTACGAGAGGAAAACAGGAGGGTCAGGGTCAGAAAAGAGATGTGATAAGGTTGGAGTGATGCTCTTTGAAGACAGAGAAGGGGTCCAGGACCCAAGGAATACAGGTGGCCTCCAGGAGTTGGAAAAGGCAAGGGAACGGATTGTCCTCTAGAACCCCCAGAAGGAACTGACACTTTGATTTTAGCCCATAAGGCCCATTTCAGACATCTGGCCTCGAGACTGGCAGATAATAAGTCACTAAAGATTGCAGGGATTTGTTACAGCAGCAACAGTGAACTAATGTGGCAGCAAGGTGGCCAGCCCAGCACACACACAGACATCTTTCCTGTGGTTGTATGAGCTGAGGTCTTGGCTCAGCAGCAGCAGAAAACAATGCTTGTGAACACACACAGAGAAAGAATTCATTGATAGACTACTGGCAAGCTCACAGAATGGACAGGAAATCTGAGGACCCAGGCTTAAGACAAGACGGGGCTCAAGGGAGGCCAGCCAACAGGCATCACAGCCAAGGCTACATGACAGAGATGATTGGGTAAGTGCATTGGCCCAGGACATCACTGCTGATGCCGTGAATGGTTTCTGAGTTGTCTTTGCATCATTGTGTCACTTCTTCAGAATCCAAGCACATGGCCACAGCTTCTAAATGGCAGAGCTTAGGTCACTGGCTCGGGCTCTGGCTGATGGAGGGGGAGTCTGATCTCCCCATTTTGGTTTCCACAGTGGGGGGCAGGGCACTGAATCCTGATGATGCCAGAAGAGTCTGCACAGGCAGAGAGAAGTTTGCACAAACATCTGACAAATTCCGAATACAGCAGTCTTCCTGAGCTGCTCTCCTATTTTCGGTGCATCCTAAAGAGAATTCTGAGGCTGGGAGTGTCACCAGGTTCTGATGTCCAAGGGACTGAGGCCAGGAAGAGAGCAGATCTAAGTGGGAGACAGTAGGGAGTGAGGCAGACACCAGTGGTGGATAGGGGAACAGGCACATTACAAAAGTCCCTTGTAGGGTACCTGGGTGACTCAGTCAGTTGAGCGTCCGACTCTTGATTTTGGTTCAGGTCATGATCTCATGGTTCATGGGATCGGGCCCTAAGTGGGGCTCTGTGATAACAGTGTGGAGCTTGCTTGGGATTCTCTCTCCCTCTTTCTCCTCTCTCTCTCTCTCTCTCTCTCAAAAATAAATAAATAGAGAGGCCTGGGTGGCTCAGTCAGTTAAGTGTCCAACTTTGGCTCAGGTCATGATCTCACAGTTTGTGGGTTCGAGCCCTACATCAGGTTCTGTGCTGACAGCTAGCTCAGAGCCTGGAGCCTGTTTTCAGATTCTGTATCTCTCTCTCTCTCTCTCTCTCTCTCTGACTTTCCCCTGCTCAGCTGTCTCTCTCTGACTCTCAAAAATAAATAAAAAAACTTAAAAAATTAAAATAAATTAATAAACTCTATTTTCCTTCTTGTTGCTTCTTAATCTAGCCCCTGATGATTCAATCGAATCATGCTGAAGCCACAGTAAGGGCTCTTGCTGACATCTTGCACACCCCCTCCACTCCCTCTGCCTCCTGATGAACCTTGGTGATTCCCTGTGCACCCATTAACCCATGCATGGCATGTCCCCTCCACTCATGAACCTTGAGTAATAAACTATCTTTCCAATGGCCAATGTTTCCTGATCTGTTGGCCTCACCGTACTTGAGTGATCATAAAATTCCTGCTTAAGAACGTTGAATCACATCCCTGTGGGTGTAGGATGACAAAATTTTGACACCGATTGAATGGTGTTAAGGTATTAGATTTGTCTGTGGATCCACAGATCTTGGGAAATCACAGGACAAGAAGTCTCTCTAATTAACTCCAACTCAGTTTACTGTGTTCCAAGTTACCGTGGGGTTTATTTCTGAGGAAGCACCAGCCTTCTGTGGAGAAGCATAGAACCTCTACGGAGGTACTTCTGACAGCAGGCTCCACCGACCAGCAGCAGGGGCTCCACCCGGGCACTTGTTAGAAATGCAGTGTCTGGGGCACCTGGGTGGCTCAGTTGGTTAAGCGTCCGACTTCAGCTCAGGTCCTGAACTCATAGTTTGTGGGTTCGAGCACTGACAGTGCAGAGCCTGCTTGGGATTCTCTCCCTCTCCCTCTCTCTCTCTGCCCCTCCCCTATTTTCACTCTCACTCTCTCAAAATTAATAAATAAAACTTTAAAGATAATAAGATAAATGCAAAGAATTTAAAAAAGCATTATTGAGAGAAAAAATAGTAGTATCTGTATTCCAACTGTAGTTCAGTGTTGGGAGATGCATACATTTGGATGAAAATGGCTGCCTAGGAACAAGTATCCCTTTTAGGGCAGTGAAGATACTGTATGATATGTAAGAATGGATATATGTCACTACATATTTGTCCAAACCCAGAGAGTGTACAACACCAAGACTGACCCTTCACATAAACCATGGATGTTAGGTGATTATGATGTGTCAATATAGGCTCATCCTTGGCAGAAAGTGTAGCACTCCAGTGAGTGAGGGCAGTGACGGGGGACGCCATGCATGTGTGGATATATGGAGAAATGTGTTTGGTGGGTGGATGGGAAATCTCTGTTCCTTCCTCTCAAGCGTATTGTAACTCTAAAATTGCTCTTTAAAAAGTCATTAAAGAAAGTATCCACCTCTCTTCCTATCCAAATTAATTCTTATGAAAAGCATTTTTGCAGAAGGATCAAGTTAGAAGATCATTGGAAAATAGTGGATGGTCCCTGCGGGACCTGGGTGCTCACCCCCACTCCAAGCTGCTGCGTGTGTGGCTGCTCACGCCTGAGCTCTCTCCAAGGACCTCCCTCAGCTGGGGGAGGCGGGGTGCCCTGAGGTTACACCCT